ATCAACAGAGGGGGCTGAGACTGAATTTAAATAATTTAAGCCTACATCAAAAATCAAAAAAAAAAAGAGGAAAGAAATCTCCCATCATTAAAAGGATGTAGTCCTTTCTATACATAGAGCCCCTTAATCCATTAATAATACTTGATCAATTTTCTCAACTATTGGTTTAATTAAACTGTCTTCATACTATTTTTTTTTGTTTTTCCAACTCATTCTAATGTATTTTTACTACTTTTCATTTCATCTCAAACTGAAAGATTTGTAATAATTTGACTATAATTAGATGATAAGTGCAACTATAATCACTAAAGTGTTTCTTTTAAAAGACAATAAAAGAGGTTAAAAAATTAAGAAGTCAAAATAGAACTTCTTCTGTTTCTAGAATGTAAATTACTGTCATCCCATTGATCATGCCAATAAAAGAAATCAAGTAAAGTAATGTGGTCTAAGATAGAGGCTTTGTAACTTTAGGGAGAATGTTTTATTTAAAACTACCACAAAGCTACAAAAAAGGACCAGACTTACTGGTCTGACAGAGACTGGAGAAAACCCAAGAGTATGGCCCCCAGACACCCTTTTAACTCAGTACTGAGGTCACTCCTGAGATTCACCCTTCAGCCACAGATTAGATACGCCCATTAAACAAAACAAGACTAAATGGGCACACCAATCCAGGGGCAAGGACGAGAAGGCAGGAGGGGACAGGAAAGCTGATAGTGGGGATCCCAAGGTCAAGAAGGGAGAGTGTTGACACGTGTGGTTGGCAACCAATGTCACAAAACAATATGTGTACTAATTGTTCCATGAGAAACTAATTTGTTCTGTAAACCTTCATCTTAAGCACAATAAAAAAATAAAGAAATAAAGCTGTCACAAAGCATCAAATAAGAATATCTAAAAGTATTTCATAAAAACTAAAAGTAAAAACTCCTAAAAAACTGAAAAAGTTGGGCACAATTATTTAATGTTTGTCTATAATTGAATTTAGTCTTTTGTTGGGTAGAAATTTAAGAAACACATCTAAATATGTACCATATATAAAGTTTATATTAATTAATACATAAATGCATTTTGTATTGTTCTCTAAGCCTATAACACTTTATAATGATATTTGTCTAGTAATAAACTTAAATAACTAAAGTAACTAAGTAACTAAAAGTTGGAAAAATAATGTAACATACAGATAAAGGAAGGTTATATTTTATAATATTTAAGGGTGATACAGAAAGCCAGCGCTGATGAAAACATGTTGAAATTATATACAGAAAGGACCCACTTACACAAAGGGCAGACTTTGGTTCCGCTGCAGCCAGAACATAGATGTAAAATCAAGAAGCAAACAAAGGAGGTAAGGATAATGGATACCATAGAGCCCATGCTGAATGCCCACCCTGAGTATTGAAGATTATGGTCGCTTATACTTCGTAAGAAAGGTTAGAACCACCCTCAGGCACATTGCTTAGGGGTCTGCGTAAACATACATCTGTATCAAGTATAACTTCAGGAATATATCAAAATAAGCCTTATTTTATTTTTAGGATCAGCTCTTATATTTTTAGGATAATCCTGGTAATATTCCTTATTCTATCGAACATAAATATCTAATGGGCATAAAAAATAATGAGTATAGAAAAAGAACGATAAGAAATGTAGCAACTTGGGACATTCATAGGAAATCAGTCTACCTAGTCCAGAGATTGATTATACATTGCTGCCATTTCAGAAGATATTGATTCTGGAAGTTTGTGAAATGAATAAAATATATATTAGAATTTCCCTTCAATGATAATGATAATGTAACTAGCTAAATCCATATTGCTTTATTATTCTTTGGGTTATCTACACTAGAGTTTTCCCAACTTGCAAGCAATCACACACTGATATTCCATCAATCCATTACAGTAGCACCTAAGATATTAATCACCTGGGAATGCCTGGGGTGGCCGATGGGCTCTAACTTCACACAGCTTTGTCTGCTCACCCCAGGACACTGTTCAAATGTTATAATTATCTCTTTGTGCCAGAACTGGTCTAAGCAATACTCATCAAACTTAAACAAACTGATTTTGTAAAAGACACAATTTAAAGTTAATATTGGGAGTCTAGAGTTTGCTTTTGTTTTTCATTTTCCTAAAGAAAATTTACTTTATTCCTGACTTTTACCTTAACTGGCCATAATTTCATTAGTTTAATTAGTTTTTGACTTTCAAGAAAATAAGTAGGTTACCTTTTTTTTTT